AAAAAAAACTGTAATTACAACAAAGAGTGAAATAAATTGAATTGAATTGAATTGAATTGAAATAACAAGCATTAACTTTTATATCAATATTTAATACTGCTAAAGATTCTATAAATATAACAAACACTTATATATGTATGTGAATATTTTTATAAACAAAAAATAGCATAAACCAATACGCCCTATTCACCTTCTTTGCGAGCGAGCATATCAAATGCAACGCTCAACGCCCTGGGTCACTTTTGCATGGTATTTAAGGCATTTCCGCATATTTTTAAAGTCTCAGGTTGCAGTTGCCAGAGATTAGCACACCATAGACACTCTATATATGCATATATAGGGATATTTCGATAATCTTGTATGGCTGCATGATTTATGAAATTGACATTGCAGCTGGCTGTGGCGCATCAATGTGCATCGATTCCACACGCAGAGCTCCCCACACATTAAAACGAATGAAATTTGTTGCTGCGCTGACAGCTGCAAATGCAAAAGACGTTTGCAGCAACAGCAGCATCGATATGCATACATCGACTAGATATGAGCCCCTTCACAGAGACATGATGGAGTATGACACCAGAGAGAAAGAGAGAGATTGAGAGAGAGAGGGAGTGGGAGAGGGGTGGCTGTTTTATGATACACTTATGACTGCTGCACAATGGTATGGATAAATCGGCGTATACATAAAATGTCGTTACAAATATTTTATAACAGGAAATCCGTTATTTATACGCACATTGTGTACGCTTCTACTTCTTCGTCTCCCTCTTTTTGCTGTTGCTGCTGAAGTGGGTGGGGGTGGGGAGGGGGTGTGGTAGGGAAGCTGGCTGCTCGCTCGTCTCTTTGGCAAATATGAATGAATGTTGTTTGCATTTTGCCTGTCGCCAGACTCTTTGCCTCCTTGCCACGCCCACCGCCCAGCCGTCGCCGCCGTCGCCGCCGTTGCCGTTGCGTGGCGCAATCCTTATGAATTGACTACAATTTTATTTATTATTACTCGCTCAGCTCGGCATCTCGTTCGCTCTCGTATTTCTATGGCATGCGACTTGTTTTCGAGCGTTCCCAAGGCAATTCCATTATGGCCAACAATCCGCCAGCAAATTGCAAGGCTCAATTGATATTGGCTCGCACCAGGCAACAGCAGAAATGCCAGCACAGCAACAACAATGATCGAGAGCTTTAAATGATTTTCAGCGAACAACCTAATTGGCCGGCACCCGAGGCGTCTGTTGTCTATCTATCCTCTGCTGCGCCTCCTTAGACGTGGCTAACAAACTGACGGAAATTATGTGGCAGCTGCGAAAGGTTGCTCTGAGAGAGGCTTTAAAATCTACATGATACCGAAAATTGTCAAAAATTAACTCGAGCCACACGAGCTACAAGCACAGCCCGGCTCAGCTGCGAGATATTATAATGAGATATCCTGTAATATTTGCCTAATGGAGTACTTAGAATGAGCAGGCTTGACAGGTGCTTCAGGTTGGTAGAGACGTTGTACTGATTGAGTGAATGATTGGCTCTGACTGTTGTACTTTGATTGAATCATTCTGATAGGGTTGGACTTACTAACTGCTTCCGGCGGTTTGATTCGCTAACTCCTCTTCAGACAGCTGAGGAGCTCTGATGAACAGATCTGCATTGAGTAACTCTGATGGATTAGCTTTGAGGCTTCGATTGACTGAAAGATTGTTTCTGATTGACTATTAAAAAGTCAGACTAACATTTAAAGACTAATTTTAATTGACTGACTAATTAGTTGACTGCTCAGCTCTGACTGATTGACTGACGGACTGGCTGGCGTTTCTCTGACTGTTACAAATTCAGACTAAAGCTTAATGAATGACTTTGATTGACTCTGAATAGCTGATTGATTAGTTGATTTATGAAATTGAGACTCTGATTGAATGTCTGTAAAGGACTGATCCTCACGGATTGACCCTAACTGATTGACTTATAGACTAGCTGATTGACTGTATGACTGATTCAATGAGCCTGACTGATAAAGAAGAAACTGTGTCGCTGATTGCTTGATGTGATTCTGGTTTACTAGCTCAGTGACTATAAAATTCTCTAATTGATTGTCTTATTGATTAACCAACTGATTGTCTGACCTAAAGAGCTTCACTTTCTCAATGGAAACTAAAATGAAGAAACGCTGCTTTGATACTTCTTCAAGTATTTTTAAGCCTCTTGGCTAAATCTTAGGTTGCCCGAAATGCACAGCAGCTGCTACAATATCGATTCAATCCGTAGCTCCCCGTGTTTCAATTAGATTACTCTACCCCTTCAATATACCACATTAACCACAACACTTTACAGGGTATCAACAACATGCAAAACCTAATTAAAAAGTTGCCCAAATTTGCGAGCTAAACAATTTTGTTGCCTGTTTGTTGTTGTTGTTGTGGTTAACAGACGCGAAGCCCTTCCATAACACAACCACGCCCACAACCACACCCACGGCCACTCCCATGCACGACTTTTGTTGCCGAATCCTGTGAGCACCACACTTTATTGACTTGCTTGGTTTATGCTTTGGGAAACGGCATCGCCAAGACCAACCGATATATATCCACATCCCGTAACTGGGAGACGCACTTGTACCTGTCGTAGCCCCTCTGCAGTAGCTCCTGCTCCAGCTGCTCCTCCACATGGAGCATCTGGTGCACGTCCTGACGCAGCTGCTCCGCCGAGCGTTCGTACAGTTTGCGTGCATCGGAGCGAAACAGCTGAATGGCCAGCAGCAGCTCCGAGTGCCTGTGCTGCAGCTGCTCGGAGCCATAGAGGAATCTATGATGGGCCGCCAGCAGACGCATCACAATGAACCGGCGATAGCGACGCTTCAGCTGCCCAATCGATTGCTCCGGCGCAGGGCGAGTCTGTGTATAACTGAGCAGTGTCAGAACCAGGATGATTAACAGCTTGAGGCTGGCAATGAGCAGCATGAGGGCCATGGGCTTATCCTCCACCAGATTCAGCTGCTCCTGCCAGCAGTACAGATCGCAGCCATGGACTCCGTGACTGTAGTCCAGAATGCCAACCAGAGACACGCAGATCAGGCAGCTGACACCCAGTGCATTGTAGTGGACGCGCAGCAGATCCCTCACCTGTTGCACGATCCCGAACATGTTTACAATTTTGGAGGAGGCGGCTATAAATCGGTGTGAGGAATTATAATTTTGACTGAAAATGCTTTAGCTGCTTACATGGACGAAATATGGAACAAGAATTGATTGATTGAATGGAGGCTAGAAATATTATACTAAAGGGTGATTGACTGAATGATTTGGAATATCTTATTGTGGAAGAATTCAACGATCTTTTACCAGCTCCAAGATATTTCCTAAATTTAGAAGAATTTAATCCTGAGAAATTTAAGTAGTTGTAAATTTTTATTAAACATTATATACAAATCATTTCTATTGACTAAAAACGAAGATCATCGCGAGCAAGCGCTGCGCGTACCGCGGGCAGCAAAGGATTATAGCGACGCGCGGCGGGATGTGGCGGATTATTACGCCGTAGCTCGGGCGGTGGGCCTTGGCGTCGCCAGTGCGCGAGCGGTGGGAAGTGCTGCGCTGGTGTGGAGTGCAGCGGCTTCTGCTGATAGTAGTGCTTGTGGATGGTGACTGGACGCAGATTGAGCTTGAGCTGCTCGGCGCGCTTGTTGGCCAGATACCGTTGACGCTCGATGCTATCCACACTGGCCTTGACGCCGAAGACGAGGTGCAGGAACGGCTTGACCAGCACACTCAGCAGCAGGAAGCCCAAGAAGCCAAAGACGACGGGTGAGATCAGCGTGAAGAGGAAGACGCCCAGTGTGAAGGGATTGAGGACTGTGAAGAAGGCAACAAACTTGATGAACGGATACAGCACGTGCCCCACATGGCTGAACCACTCCTTCTTCTTCCGCTTGAAGAGGGTGTTGTGGCGCAGCAGATATTTGATTTTGCTAAAGGGCGCCTTGGTGGTCGACGGACGTTTGGTGGTTACCACCTGCAGAATTGTGGTTGCCGCCATTGGCGGTTGTGGCTGCTGGCCATGTGGATCCCATGAGGGACCGTGGTGGTGCGAGTGGTACGGCTGCTTGGTGGGATTGGCGAAGACGAGGTGAGCCGGCTGTCCCAGCGGCGGGTGTTCGTATTCGGGTTTCTGCTGTCGACGTCTCTTCTTCTTCTTCTTCTTCTTCTCCTTTTTATTCTTCTTCTTCTTCCTCTTCTTGCGTTTCTTCTTGCGCTTCTTCTTGCCACGACGACGCTTGCGCTTGCGGCGACGGCGAATCCGCTTGCGACGCCGGCGTATTCGCTTGCGTTTTCGCTTTTGACTGTCCTTGGCCCGGGATGACTCCGCCGGCACCTTGCCGTCGCTCTTGTGCTGCTCCAGCGGCTCAGCTGTCGCTGGCTGCACAACCTCAAAGGTGCTGCCCTGCTCCACATGCTGCTCGTGCTTCTCCTGCTCCTGCAGATCCTTATCTAGCTGCTCGAAGATGTTGAATGGCTGCACTGTGCCGGTCTTGTTGAGCTGCTTCTCCTGCTCCAGTTGCAGTTGCTGCAATATGCTAAAGCTGCTGTTCGGCCGCTTCTGCTGCAAGAGCTTCAGCTGCTCCAGCGTCAACTGCTCCAGCACACTGAATGGCTTCTTTGTGGTGCTGTGCTTGAGCTGCTCCTCCAAGTCATGCTGCAGCTGCTGCAGCACGTGAAAGGGCTGTGGAGTCGTGGCTATTGGCTGGCTCTCGGGTATCCACAACAGCTGCGTTTGTGGCCGACGCAGGCCACGCCCCTGACGCAACGGCGCTTGCTGCTTCGCCCTCCTCTTCTCCTGCTGCTGCTCCTGCTGCTGCTGCTGCTCCTGCTGCTGCTGCTGCTGCTGCTCCTGCTGCTGCTGCTGCTGCTGCTGCTCCTGC